TCACTAACGGAAAGTTTTATGGTTTTCAACCTTATCAGCTCTCGTACCTCTCGCATACCACGTTTTTGCATTGGGGTGAGGTTTGAGCTGTATCTTTTCGCGCGATAGTGATTAAGGACTTTGAGAGTTTCATTCGCAAACATCNCAAGATGGGGCATGTTGGTAAGTCAACTTTAAGTTGAGAGATAACTGATGGTTTTAAACCAGCAGCCCTTGCCATTTTGGCCCATTCGTGGTTTAGTTTTCGGTATTTACTTTTGAATTCCTCCTCAGATGATGGGCGATAAAGCGAAGCATCTTCAAGATGCTTTTTCGTTACCTCCACATCGAACTGATGAGGAATTACGACAAACTCTCCACCCTTATCACTAACGGAAAGTTTTATGGTTTTCAACCTTATCAGCTCTCGTACCTCGTTTTTTTTTCTCGTACCTCGTATACCACGTTTTTGCACTGGAGTGAGGTTTGAGCTGTATCTTTTCGCGCGATAGTGATTAAGGACTTTGAGAGTTTCATTCGCCAACATCCGAAATTTAACATCAACTTCATTATTGGACTCTTGTTGTCTGAAGAACGGCTGAGGAAATGGTGGCATTGGTAGGGCCCCTACTTGATGTTGTTCGCACCTATTTAGCGCTTCATCTCTAGCTTTTTTGCGGAGTCTATCTTGAAGTTCATATAAACCACATGCGAACCTACGCAAGGTTATCTTAGAAATGGGTTCAGATGGTGAGAAACTCGGCCCCAATTCTAATAACGAGCGCGCACCGTCAGGGAGAGTTATGCCTCCTAACACGGTTAGCCTTGAATTTTCTTGCACATTACCTATCCTAATGTGATCTGTTTGATGCTCTTTAGCGGTATTTTGTGCGCTATTGAAGCTGTGTTATGTGATTTACTCCAAAGGTTTTCGAATTTTCTTCGCAAAGCTACTTTAGCATTAGACCTAATAGAGTTGCAAATCAACACTGACCCGTCCACTATTCTCCTCCAGAGGCGGTCCTCCAAATATTGAGCACAAAATTTTTCCTTCGTCTTGCACTTCTTCCACTTGGGGAACATCTCGTTTTTTCGGCTTTGTAGACAAGTGCGTAGTATTCGCAATTCGACGTCCAATACTCGGTGACTGCCCTCTGGTAGACCGCATACGTCGTGTAGTCGTCTTCGTTTGATGAAGTTCGGAACGACTTGATGTTTTAGACAGCGGCGGAGAAAGTGTATTGACTGTCGAGCTAAGACGATCTATATAAACATTTTCTGCTTCGCAAGCTCCGTTTCGGGAAACGAATTCACTGCAGGATAAAGCCTGGAGTTCTACACACTGAGGTTTGCGATAAAACCGTGAATAGAGGCACAGCTAAAGGACCCGATTATATCATGGCCGATTTTTTTTAGAGCTAATGGCCACAAACTACATGTGTTTCGGAAAACTTAAATGACGGTTTACCATCAGAAACAGAACATTTCAANTAGCGCTTCATCTCTAGCTTTTTTGCGGAGTCTATCTTGAAGTTCATATAAACCACATGCGAACCTACGCAAGGTTATCTTAGAAATGGGTTCAGATGGTGAGAAACTCGGCCCCAATTCTAATAACGAGCGCGCACCGTCAGGGAGAGTTATGCCTCCTAACACGGTTAGCCTTGAATTTTCTTGCACATTACCTATCCTAATGTGATCTGTTTGATGTTCTTTAGCGGTATTTTTGTGCGCTATTAAAGCTGTGTTATGTGATTTACTCAAAAGGTCTTCGAATTTTCTTCGCAAAGCTACTTTAGCATTAGACCTAATAGAGTTGCAAATCAACACTGACCCGTCCACTATTCTCCTCCAGAGGCGGACCTCCAAATGTTGAGCACAAAATTTTTCCTTCATCTCGCACTTCTTCTAGGTACAAGTATAAATGCAATAATTTGACGAGTAAAAAAAACATATCTTCTAAACAACCCTTCAACGACGGCAAAAAATCCGTTTGTGGTGATCGGCGATAAACCTGTGTCTTGCAGTTTTCTTATACAGGAAGAGTAATCAAAGAGCAGTGAGCGAAAACAGTGTACAACGTTGGCTTGAATGAATGGCATTTGTTTGAGCACGGAACTTAGGCCCTTGGTGAATCAGCTGCTTTCACATGGTTTTCGATCAGCGGCTGCGGATTTGAGCTCTTGTGGATCAGAGGTAGATTTGCCACTAGGTGACTTTGATACTAAAACGGTGGTGGATCATGGTATTGGTTTACTCTTAGCTAGGCTTTTTGATGGAAGCGCCGGACTCCTTCTCAGTTTGGGAAACCCTGGCAGGAGATGAATCCCTGTACATCGCAGTCCGACGGCTAGGAACACCCCCCAGCCACGAAGAGGCGGTGAACTGTTGGGAGGAACGACGCAAAATTATGAACAAATAAAAAGCCATGGGTGTAGAATGGAACGATGCGACCATATCTATGACGGAAAATTTGGTAGAGGGATCTTTAAGTTCTCCCTGCAGAATTCTGAGTGTAGATGCTTAAAAATGGGAACATAAAAGGTTTTATCTAATCAGAACTCAGTGTAAAACTGAGAATCGTACATCACTATTTCGAGTCAACGATTTCTTTCTGGCCCCTCGTCTAACATTTCTTTTTGCAAATCACTGTTAATTAACCTGTTGATGAACACTGGAAGGAAACCTGTGTCCGCTACCGTACCCTATTCACTATTGTACCAAACTTGTGCCTCGCATTTCAGAGCAGCTGTTTAACCGAGAGCCAGACGTTAAATCTCAAACAGGTGGCATTCACCCATGCAAATTTGTTTTTTATTTTTGTTCATTGCTTTCTGATCTTTCTTTATTTATAAGGAATCGCTTGGATAAGAACAATTACATTTGGTCTAAATTGCTTTCCTTCTCTTAATGTTTTAAATGTGATATTACTGCGTCGTTTTCTTGCTCAGCAATCGCAAGGCTGTTATACAGCATACATTTACTTCCATAGAAAAGCACACAGTGCAATACAACACTAGCTGACGTTTCGCCAGTATCGCCTTCTTCAAGGCCTGGAAGGGTATACTGATATACAATTTAGTAGGCCAAACGCTTCAATAATACTTAGAAAAAGACGAAAAACTCTGTAGCAATTACCTGACCAACAGCTTCTCGAAATACATACCGCTTTTTCGTGACTTCCAATGAGGAAAGTTAGAACATCTGACTATAGTGTGTTTTTCTATGGAAGTAAATGTATCCAGTATAACTACCTCACTATTGCTGAACAAGAAAACGACGCATTCATATTCCTACGCCGAGGTTAATAGAAAGTCGATCCTGGGAACTGTGATATTACTTCTAAGTTCAATGCTTATTTTCCAGTGCAGCACTTCTCTCTCACTTTCCCACATACCATTGTTAAAAGTATGAGATATTTTGTTTCCATTTCCTTCTTTTGATATTTTCTTCGCAAATCTATTACGATTGGGGTTTCAGGATGAAAATTTTCCTAACCATATTTCTGGCTACCTGCGTAGGTGTACCTCGTGGCTCCGAGGCGATAAGTGGACCATCCGTCAACGATGAGAGCTTTGAAGCGAAAATGAACGAGGGATATAACCTATTGAAAAATGCAAGCTTTGCTCACGAACCACATAATTCAAATATATGCTAAACCAATTACTTTTTTTAGAGTCACATTTTTTTCTCAGGTACCTAATGAGGAAGATACTGTAAAGCTCCTCAAGGAATTGCACAATATGGAGAAAGAATTAAAGGTTGAACTCGCTCAATCTCCGCGGCAGTTACCAAGTGAAATAATGGTCAGCGTATAATCATTCAGACACACATAACTTGAGGAACAAAATCGAGCCTTTAGAGTTACGAGGGAGGTGAAAAAAGTCACATCCAACCAATGGGTGACACAATCGAGGAGGTCAACCACAACAGCAAAGTTGATGCGGCGCTATTTCAAGGCGATATGGTCCTCACCAAGTACGTCCGTGTAAGGATCCCGCCTGATAAACTGTTTTGCTTCTGAGCGTTCTGCTCTCGATTTTAGAAAGCAAGCCGAGGAGCTTATGGGAGATATCAAAGCGAATAGAGGCAATCGTAACAAACGACAGGCCTTCCGTGATAGTAGGTATCCAAAAACGTTATGGACAAACGGAAATGTATACTTCTCATACGGCTCTAATGCATGTTCGTCTTCCCTAATGTTCTTATTCGCACCTAAATGTCTGAGGTTTAAAACACAATGACTTTCAATACTATTTTCAGCCGAGGCAGCGAAGAGAGTGTTCGAAAAAGCTGCTTATATGTGGTCTACTGAGACTTGCATTGCCTTCGGTGAAAGTAGTACAGGTATGATAATAATCGAGTTATACCAGAAAGCTTGATAGTTTATAATTAAATTCTTGGTTTGGAATTTGTTTTAATTTACTTGTGGTTAAATTTTAGCTTACTGAGAACTTAAGAATTTCTTATAAGGGATATTTTCAGCTACCGATAGAATTGAGCTCATAAAAAATGGTGGATGCTGGTCACATGTTGGACGAATTGGAGGTGTACAGGCCCTCTCTCTTGGGCAGGGATGCGAATCGGTAAGACTTAGGAAACGTTTCTTGAGGTTTATACTAACTTCGTAGGAGGAAGTTGCAGCATGAAGTAAAAATGAAAGGTTAGAATTGGTAAACAACCCAATGACACACTTATTTCATGCAGGTTGGAACCGCTGCGCACGAGATTGGCCATGCCTTGGGTTTTCACCACATGCAGTCCAGACATGATCGTGACGGTTTCATCACACTTGCTCTGGAAAACTTTGCGGTGAATTTGAAAGAAAATCTAGCAGAATACATGATGCCAAGGGAAATGATGTGATTGTAGGATGGATGGATTTCTCAATTCTCTAAACAAACTGAAAAAAGCAATTACAACTACAATCTAACGTACGACTATGGAGGTGTTATGCATTACGGAGCAACGAGGTTGACAATATTTTATCACAGCACGAAATGGTTTTAAAGGGAGAAAGATTTAAATTACAGTGTGTCAAAGAACGGTAAACCTGTAATGGTGCCGCATGACATTAAATACATGGAAACCCTCGGGTCAGCAATGGTTTAATTTTACGAGAAACTCATGATGAACATGCATTACGGATGCCTTGGTGTGAAAATTGTTGCGCGATCTTTTGATTCAATGCCACCTCCGAGAAATTTCGCTAAGCATTAAATTATTATAGATAGGTGCAATCAAAGTACCTCATCAGCAAAGTGCGAAAACGGAGGATTCCCGTACCCTAGAGATTGCTCTAAATGCATTTGTCCAAGCGGATATGGTGGAAAACTTTGCAACGAAAGAGTGAGAACATTCCCATTCGACTTATGTTTCTTTAAGAGTCCATGTAAATGTGGTAATCACTAATTGCAGCCAAATGGTTGCGGTAAGATATTGAGCGCAACCAACTATCAAACACTTGAAGATACAGTCGGTGAAGCGGGTGCAAAAGAAGCAAGAGACGAATTTACGATGTGCAATTACTGGATCCAAGTGTGCAGTCTACTTTAGACTATAGTATTGTTGAAGTCCAGATAAGCGTTATTTAAGGCACCAGCTGGTTCAGCAATTGAGGTGGTGTATGACAACTTTACGAGAGGCCATGGCATCGATGGTTGTCCGTATGCAGGAGTTGAAATAAAAACAGGAAGCGACATTCGTCATACTGGATACAGGTTGTAGTCTGACACTTTAGAATGATAGATAGCCTAAGCAAAAATGTATTAGTGCTTTCAGGCTTTGCTCTTCGAAAAATGTTAGCACAACATTGGTCTCTACACGAAACATCGTTCCCGTGATTACTTACACGAGACTCTATCAAGTCAAAACCGTTTTACGTTATCGAATCGGTAATGTGTAGATCAGTATCTACACTTAACAAACTGCTCTTTTAATCCAGGTACTACTATTTGAAATGTTGCAGCTTCCTCTGGTCCAGTAACTTCTGGGACAACTTCTGGTAAAACATGTCGCTCTACACCACAACCAACATCTCTTCGAACATCCAGGCCATCAGCTTCTGCTAAGCAGCCAGCGACACCGATTACTCGTACAATATCTCCTCCCAACCCCCGCTGTAGGGACGACAATGCGTGCGTAACAGTTATCATACTTCATATTTTTGGAAAACCTTAACTATTGCTTAGGTGCACTACATTAATGAAGTGGGACTTCTGCCGTTCTGCGAAGTACGAGGACAAATTAAGGAAACTAGTTTGCCCGAGATCATGTGGTTTATGTTCTTAGCTATTTCGTCTCATAAAATAGAAATTTTCTTACATTCTCTCAAGCACGATACGTCTGCACAATGAACGGACATATATGAAAACCGACAAACACCCACACATACCCACGCACACACGCATACAACACATACATGTATGGGTACACAAATGTTTACACAATTGTGCTATGCATCTAACTTTTCACATCATGGTTGATTTCGAGGAGGTTGAAAAAAACTATAGGTGTTCCACCATTTAAGCATGGGAGTGGTGGCTTTATAGACGTTAAATTTTCAATGGTTACAGAACTTCTGGGGTTGAATACGCCACAAAGTCATAGATGAGACATTGTTTCATGCATCTGTAAGTGTAATGTGGCTACTACGTGTTAAATTTTGCCACATTTCATCATCGAAACCTGTTTATGTTACCAGGTGGGAATACTTTACAACTTACGTTTTGTCTCCCTGAGTACATCTTATGCTGGACCATCCATTACAGATCCACCACTATTCGAAAAAAAAGTAACAAATTATTGGCCAAAGATTAGATTTTGTATAATCTACACAAAAGACCGTGCCGAGTTCCTAGTAGAGAGATAATTTTCCGTTACTAGAAGACTCAGAAGTTGACAACTTCACATAGTGGCAAAAGAAAGTTCGCCCTGTCGCTCTGACGAAAACCAGTAACTTTTCTAAGGTGTGATTTTTGTTTAACATTGAAATCTGGTTTCATCTGCGTTTATGATGGTGGTGACAAAGGCTTCGGGATTTCGAGAAGCTTAATTTCGAATGATAAAGTTCATTATAAGGTGAGAAATGCTTGGCAAAAGTGCTTTCAGGTCTTGTGAATTGTGGGTGAGGCCCAATAAATAGGTCCAAATATTGGAAACATCAAATAATTGACGAAATCTTCTACAATTCTTACTGGAGGAATCTTCATTACTCTTGAGGAGTGTTCTTGATGAGCTGGGCTTGTGAAGATATCGTCATTTTAAGCTTCCACCACCATTTTCTTCACTTTGTTTTCTCTCGCTCTTTCTCACCCACTTGTATCGTGATTCCATCGACTTTAGTCGTTCTAATGAACCTTCTTGCTTGTCGATTTGTATTAATTTTGCTGATCGGTTGTTACTAAATATTATAGCTCTAGCCCTTTCCACCCCACTCTCTCCATCCCAATCTCCCTCCGGAGGCTTCCTTTTCATCATGGTGTGGCTGGGGAGTGTTCTTGGTGTCAGACTGCGGTGTACTCTGGAGTTATAGCAGGGTCTCCTCCCAAGCTGGAGTCGTGTTCGACGTGTCCATCCGGAATCCCACATAAGAGTAAATAAGTTCCAGGAATTAATGCCACTGTGATAACGAATTACTCGCACAGTGGCAAATCTCCCACCCGTCCACAAGCGTCGGCCAATTCTGGTACTGACGACCTGAGGAATATTTCAGCTAGCTAATTAGAAACATCAAAGACCATTAATTGCTCATCCGTCAAACTAATGGCCTCAGTATTTCGTGCAGCATAACGACCGGTGAAAGTGGATCAAATATTGGGTTGCAGAGGACGTCACTGAAACAGGAGCAAGGAACACGCCCACAAAGATACGTGAATAGTGCTTCCTGTTCTGCACTTATACCACTAGAACGGTTCGCTCAGACGCCGATCTTTACGTCGTTCTTGAGACCGCTGGTCGCAACAAATTCTACGTGATCGCCTTACAAGAAAGGGAAAGCGGGAGGACCGATAAGAAGTTTTTATTACGAAATGTCGCTAACGTTATCTTTATCGTGCAGTAATCCATTTTCTATCAGGTCCATACGCACGAGCCCTTATCGAGTGAAGAGGCACAGCAATGTATCTACATGAACGCTGAAATTCACAGTAGGGAAGAGATTTTCGCTGTCATAAGATGACAAACCGGACTTTTCCAGCATGGCTCGAACATCACAGACTACGGGCTCAACAATGAGACCGTACTATACTATACTATATATCAACAGTGAGGTTGAAGGAACCTTGTCATTTGAAACAGTCATTAAGTCTCACTATATTTTTATTTTGCATCCATTCTGCACAGTTTACAAGCTATGGATACGCATAATGTTTAATCATATTACTTCTTACAATTCATGTGTGTAGCCATGATCAGTGAAGGACATTCAGAGATCATTTAAACGTGAAAGCAGTTACAATATTCACATATATTTTTCAATTCTTACTGACAATCATCAAATACGGCATAAAACTTACGGCTGTTGAGTACAATAAGCATTCTTCACATTGAAGATCGTAACGGTTTTGTACACATTCTATGACGGCAACTGAAAGATCCTGAACAATAGCGTTTGCAACCACAGGTTGATCTTTCTAGCGCGTTCTGCAGTGTATTTCCGATGATAGCTTTTGTAACTGTCGTGTAACATCCAACAGATCTTCTTCATTTTTTCGAATTACAAGATCACCTTAAAGCCTAGCTGAGAGTAAACCAATACTAGGATCCACCATCGCCCTGGTGTCAAACTAGTCGCATGGTGGCAAATCGCCCTCTGATCCACATGAGCTGCAACTGCCTGTGGTGGTGAAGACTTGGGGAAGGCTTTGGCCAAGCTGGCCTCGGGATTCCAGGGAGTCACAGTAGTTTAACCAGCAAGTCTCAAAAAGGTGGAGATTATGGTTGGGCTCGCACAGCCAGGGAAGACGGTTCATTCAAGTATCAAGAATCACCTTTCTTTAACAAAATTAGAAAATGATGGCAAACTAGAATCAACAAACTGCGAGAAATGTTAGGAGCCCTCGTGCTAAAGACACAACTTCCCCTGACTAGGCGCACTCGATATCAGAATTGGATCCAATTTTCTAACTAGAACCCATTTATGGATAAATTTCCCAATGATGGCATGTACGACTTTTAAGAACCACTCCGTTACAAAGCTAAACTAGAGATGTTGCATGAAGACGAAAAATAAGAAGTAGGGGCATTGTCATCATCTCCTTTTCTTCCAGCGTTCTTTAGAGGTCAGCCCTCAACGAAGAAGTAGGCATCAACTTCCGCATATATTTAGAAGAAACTCTTATTATCCTTCACCACTGCCGTGGTTAGTTAGAACCTCAGAGAAGTGTAAAATGTGTTATGCGGCATGTTTGGGAATTAATAAAATAAAAAACTATTAAACTATCAGCTATTGACTAGGCTGGAGAGTGCGTAGTATTTCATCATCAATGTTTTTCATCAATAAGCAGACACGAGGTTGTTAATATAGAATTTATTAGAACACAATTGCTGACGTTTCGGCGG